TTTTTTGTATTTCATTTTTGGATGTTCCTGCTTCCTCACTCACATTCTTTATTCTTAGGTTATGCATCTTTTTATCATCTTCCAGTTTTAGAATTGCTTCTTTCTGGTTCCATGTTATTTTTAAGAGGCTTTTTCTTTCACGTTCATAAGCCCTAAATCTCTCTTCAAGTTTCAGAAGGTTGTCTTTAGTTTCTGTCAAGGCATTTTGCCAATATTCAATGGAGTTTTTAGTTTCCTGATTTTCTCTTTGGATCTGTTTCATGTATTCTAAGTTATGCTTAAATTCTTCAGATGCTTCTCTTTCTTTTCTGATTTCCTCAGTTCTTCCATCTGTGTTCTCTTGGGCAGGGCTTGTCATTTCTTTAATTAATCTCTTTATATCTTGCCTCACTTGGATCAGGAGTACATCTTTAAATTCCTCTATGAGATCATGTAAATATTTTTTAATTTCGGCTGATGCTGAGTCGAGCAATGGATGGTTACTGTGCTTGTTCTCTTCAGTGTTTAGTTCTCTTGGGTTTAATTTCTCCTGTTGAACAGCTGGAGATTTTTTTTTATTTTTATCTCTTGTCATGTTTCTGGTTTCTTTCAGACTGTCCTGGAGTTCTCTGGCCCTCTCCAAATTGCTTAGGGCCTTTCAGAAGCGTGCCGGCTTGAGTTTTTGCTGTCCTCCCCAATTTGCTGTTATCTGGGGTAGGCTGGGATGCAGGGGCGGTACAGTCTAGTCTCTAGCCTCTGTGTCAGTTAGTTCATAAATTAGGCTGTACTTTCTAGTTGTCACTGAGTTGTGACCATTCTGCATCCGCCCATTGGGCCCCAAGCAGAGGCCTGATCTAGCCCCAACAGCTCCTGCCAGTTCTCCCTGAATCAGAAGCAGCTGGGTAATGGCACAGGATTCTGCCCAGGTCCCAGCCGTTCTCTTCCAAACCTCTCTGTGATAGGAGCTCTAGAAAAGCAGATCTGCCCAAAACCAAGATGGCTCCCACTAAGTTCTCCGTGCGGAGCTGAAGCCAGCAAGCAATCAGACTCTGCCAGGACTCAAGATGTCTTCCACCAGCCCTCCCTACAGGGGGTCCTGGTGATGTCACCAAGCTGCGATTTCTGCCGCCAGGCTAATATGTCTGCACCAGATTCTGTGTTATTGATTTCCCCGTGGTGGCGGGCCAGCTGTTCTCTGGCCAAACCCAGCCGCCGCGGGGTTTTCTATACTCACCAGAGTCCGGTGCAAGTCCCCGCTCCGGGACCGCCACACACCAAGCCGTCCACTTTTCCCCACCTCGCGGCTCAGCGCTGACTGGTCAGATTTCTGTGCACCGTTTAGATTCGAAACGCCAGAGCTCTGTACATCTGCTCTGGTGCAGCGGTGCAGAACTGGCTGCCGCCTGGAGTCTCGATCTGGGTCTCAGTTTCCGCAGTCCCCAAAAGCAACTCAGCTTTTCGTGTTGGGTCCACGAGTCTGTTCGTTGATTTAAGGGCGCGGGATTTGCAGCCTCCGGTCTCAGCACGACTTTAAATCCTCCAGCTGTACTGTCTTGGTTGATAAGGATCGCTATGGATTTGTCTGGTCCTCTCCATGCTGTCTTTTTTTTTTTTTTTTTTAGCTTTGAGTTTGAATTCTCTGGAGAGATTCTTCGCTCGATCCCCTAGCACGCCGCCATTTTCTCTCCTCCCTGTGTTTGTCTTCTTAGCAGTCCTTACATTACACCTTGGGGACCAAACAGCCCAGCTGTATAACATGTCCCTTCCGAGTTCCATGTCCCCTTTCCACGGCCTCCCTTTTCCCTCTGCCACTGTTCCTCCCAGCCAGCTTCCTGTCCTAGCTCCTGTGTGCCCGATATGGGGAAAGGGACTCGGTCCACAAATTCACAGCCAGGCTTTGGTGACCAACTACAGCTTCACAGGGGATCCCTTTTTCAGGGTGCATGATTTACATTTTCAAAAAGAAACAACCATGCCGTTAGCTCGATAGAATTCCTGACACTCTCCCTTGGCAAGAGTAACATGGCCAACAACGGATTGGGGTGTCATGGGGCACCCCATGTGCCGGGCATAGTGTCAGGCAAATCCTGTGTGACAAATCCTCCCAGCAATCTGCAAAGGGGAGACATCACCCCCATTCAAAGAAGGTGCCTCAGCTCAGGGAGAAGCTCACAGAGCTTTCTACACAGATGGGGAGATAGGAATGGAGGTGCGGCTGGGGCTCCAGCTGCTCCCCTGGAAGGAGGCAGGTTCTCTACCACAATGTCCTTGGTAAGGGTTGCTTTCCCCCATGTTCCCTGCCTAGAACAAATGTAGCATCCCTGGCAAGGAAAGAGAAAAGTCTTCCGGGACAGGTGTACCAGCATGCAGCCAGGCAGCCTGGACACTTTGGTGGTCTTCACTTTCCCCAGGGCGGGAGACTTTCCATTCTTCACATGGGGTTTCATTCATAGAAGAATTTCCTCTCATGAAGAACCAAAAAGGAGGACCAGGGACCCAGTACTGGGACATCTTTACAGTGACCCGCACCACTAAATGATCTCACGGTGAGTGGTCTTTACGAACTGCCTTTAGGTGTTAGTTTAAGAGAGTAGATAAAAAAGAAAAGTTAAAAAGATTGCTAAGATTAGCAATCAGTACACAGAGCCTGGTAATAAGGCCCTGCAGCCCTGTGGTTAAGGACCACTGTACCTGAGGGGAGCCCTTCCCCCCAGTTTATGGATCCACTCGGTTCCCTTTGATGAACCAAGCAGTCTGAATCATTAGAAAAATGAACTGAAAGGTTTGCTCTGGCTCAGAATTTCCAAATGCCCCTGGAGGATATAGAAGGGACTTTATTCTGTGTCTATTTAATTTTATAATAAGCAAAATGGTCTCCTTAAAGTTTGTATGGGAGACTTTATCAGAGACTCAAACAAACGCCATGATCTGCTCTAATTTAGTGATGAACACGTCCATGTAAATCCTGGAGATAGCCTCTCGTCCTTGGCAAATTTGCCTCCAGATGGGGAAAGTTCTCCTTAGGAGTGTAGATTCTCCAATACCACTTAGAAAACAGGAAAGGGGAAAAGTGTCCACAATAAATACTGCGACCAATTAGGCTTCATCACAGTAATTCCTCCGGCTCTGTCATGTTTGTTTACTGGGTTTTGTAGGGGAATTGTTTCCATTTCTGAGATGCAGGATCATAAAACCTCCTCTCCAGTGTTTTCCTGCAATAGAAACTCGTGATGATGGAGAATATTTTCTTCCTCACTGACTCCGCATTAGAAACTGAAAGATGCAGAGCCAGATGTATAAAAGCTGTCTGGACACATTCTGAGGATGTTCTTACACATTTCCCAAAAACCCACACATTAATATTGCTTACTTGGCAGCGGGGGTGAATGAGGTTCCCCAAGACCTCCTCAGAACAGGCTGGAGCTAAATAATAGTGCATGTTTTTTTCATTTTACTGTGATGAATGCAAAGCTATTAAATAACCTTTTAAAGAGTTGGTGTAATTATCTGTAAACAGTAATGTTACAAAAAAAAAAAAAAAGGTCAGGTTGTCCTGCCATTAGATGTTTATGGATATAAACTGGATTTATGTTTCCATAAAACAGGCACCGACTAACTAGATTAATTCTCCACAAACTAAACCAACTGTAGTAATATTTAGACACAATAAAATGATACCAATTAAAACAATTTTATTTTTTGTGTCATATTGATTAACGGCGCACTAAAATTAACCAGAGACCTTAAACTCAGAACGGTTGGCAAAAGGCACCAGCATCTCAACGTTATTACCAACAAGAAGAGCAGTTAAGTGAGATGGTTGGGCAATAGTATGAATATTTAATTAATAATTAGTCATGTAATTTCTCCTCAGGAATTATTATCCCTCAAACTGGTTGGTGAATTTAATTATTAGCAGGCTTTTTGTTTCCATGTCCTCTCATTACTGTCAGGATTGATGTAACATAAACTTCATTAAAAATTAAAGCAAGAGTCTTAATTACAAGGCTACCCTGACTGAAGTTAGAATTAGCCAAGTCAGTGATGTGAAAATGAGTGCATTATTTAAGAAACATGCTGGAAGTAGTTATGCTAATGCGGAAGGTTCGCAGTAGCAGACCTTTTCGCTCCGAGTTGCATATTCATTAAATGCACTATGCAAATTTAATGTAGCAGTCTTAGTAATGCGTTGTTAATTTATTCAGATTTATTGAGTACGACTTGTAAAAAAAAGTACAAATTTAATTACTCTATCTAGTCGCGATGATATTAGAAGATAGCAGAGGTTTCAAATGTGTTGGCCTGGATTACCGTGGCTTGATGGAAGACGGTGGTATCAAAGGACACAATTTTGATAACTGGGCTTGAAAGAATATTTGATTTACTTATGGAATGATCTAAGAAATCACTAAAATCGCGCATGTTCCTTCCCAATAGGAAAGTAAAAAGTCTCGGTTGTATTAACTTAAGAGCTAAAGCGCTGCTGAGTCCACAGCCTAATGGTCGTAATGGCTCTGCGGAGACCAGTAAAGGTTATGGATGGAGATCCGCACGCCGCAAACTGTCTTTGTGGAAAGTTCACCGGTGGCCTCGGGTGCCTCTGCAGCACGCTGAGGACCCGGTGGGGACAGGAGCCCAGGAGGCTGCATGCAGGCAATTCGCCCGTGGTCCGGGCTGAGCCCAGTGCATGGCAGCGTTGGTGAGAAGTCAGCTCTTGGAAGACACCCTCAGCCACCCTCCTGCCCATCTCCCTCGGGGCTCCCAGAGTGACCCAAAGCTGAATCTTCTTCCCTCGGTTTTCTCTGAGAAACCTGCACCGTGGGTCTCCCCCCGCCCCATTTTATAGATGAGAAGACTGAGGCCAGAACTAGCCAAGGAACTGATGCAGCTGGATGGGCTGAAATCCAAGCACAGCCCCTTCTTCCCCACCAACCTGCTTTCATAGTCCCGTTCCCTACTCCTGCTTCTCTCCACCACCACTCACCTCCGCCCCGTCTTTGCCTCCTTTTGCCCCCTCCGCCATTTCTTTACTCTTCTCCCTTCCTTTCAGAAAGGCCTCTCATCTGCCCAGCACCCCCTCTTCCCTCTGACTCCATCTCCCTGACTCACTCACAGATACACAAAGACATGAAGGGGCCGGTTTAAAGCGGGAAGGGTTGACCTTTTTTCCTTCTTAAATAAGTGCTACAAACAAACATCAAGCCAAATTGGAATAAAGCTGTTTCAAGTTCAACACAGGAAGACTGGAGGCCCTGACCCATAGACTGGGGAGCGACACTGGGAAAGTCCCCTGGACACCGGTGAGCAGGCAGCTCCGGGCAGCGATGTTGGCTTAGGAGGTCTCCATTTGTCTTTTAAGAATTTTAAGTTTCTTGGCCTTTATAATCACAAAAACAAGTGCTGTGCATTTTAAATACAATCACTATTTTATCTTGGTCATAGGCCTCCTGCTTCATATGGGCTAATCCTTCAGGGAAAAATCAATACACACTCTGCACAGCTCTAGCAATGAACAGACTGAATTATACTACAGTCACCTTATCATGATCACCCGCCTGGGACCCAGCACCCCCCTTGGAAGCACTCCAAGCTCCCTGACAGTCTCAGTCTGCACAAATCCATCTCCAGCTGACCCCTTACTATGAGCTGAGACCTGCTCACAGTTCGAGGCTTTGGACCTGTCAGATCCTTTGAATAGTGAATAACTGCTCAACACCAGGCGTGATGGCACACACCTATGATTCCAGCACTCGGGAGGTTGAGGCAGGAGGATCCACACGTTTGAGGCCAGCCGGGGCTACATAGTGAGACCCTGTCTCAAAAAAAACAAAAACACCAAAACAAAACAAAAGGTGTCAGGTGACAGATCAAGGATCTTGGGTCCAGTGTGAATCTCGTGCCACTTAAAGACCCCTCAATCACATCCTACAGTGCAAGCTAAGCTCCAGCCACCCTTTCCTACATTGTTTTAGCACTTTGCCATTCTGCCCAGGATGATGCTTAATGCTCCTGGCCCTGTGTGTGTGTGTGTGTGTGAGTGTGTGTGTGTGTGTATGTGTGTGTGTGTGCAGGTGCACTGGGGGAGAGACCTTGTTTACTTTTCGGTAGTACCAGTGGTGTGGTGAATGCTTAACAAACCACCAGCTCTCTTGAGAACAAAGAGAGAGAAAAAAGAAAAGAAAAGAAAATGCCCTTGTTTGTAGTGTGTGCTGATTTCCCTGGAAAATGCTCTTACTATGTGGGTTTCAGCTCCAGTGACAACATGCGGCCACTAAATGCAGAATTGGGAGCTTACACACAGCACCAGGACCCAGTACATCTGCCATACCACAGGTGTGTCCTTACAGGTAGCTTACCCTAGATAGAGACCGACAGGTGTCAATAACTTTAAGAGCTTAGATGGTGGCCGAGTGTATAAATAAGAAGTGACATTTGTGCACCTTTGTTTTTAGTGCCACGTGCTTGACAGTCCTACCTGTTAGGCTACAAACTCCAGAAGGGCAGGAGCAGGCATCTGGAGGGGAAGCTCGGGGCCTGGCCTGTTGCAGGGGTTGAAATAAGACATCAATGGAGACGAATGAGTGGGCAGGTCCCTGCCCTCGCCCCTCACAGGCGTGGAGCTGACTGGCGGGGTGGAGTGTTTCCAGTGGGAAGCTCGTATATTCAAAGCTGGGTCTGTCTGGTATTGTCTTAAAATTTAACCCAGAGGCCAAGGAGAAATAGCAAAAAGGCCGGTGTTACCCAGCAACCCCGAGTTTTCCTGAGCAGGTGAGTCAGGCAGGTGCACTTGTTCATCTTCCACAGCCATCTTGTGGGTTGCAGAACCTCAGAAGTCTGGATCAGGGTCCTGAGGCTTGCGTTTCACAAAGCGGCTGTCGTCCAGCAAGTCTGGGGGACTCCAGCGAGCCAGAGTGGCCCTGTCAGGACACAGCCTTCTCCACTGGATGCCGAGGAAGGCGATGGCTCTGACTGATGCTTCTCCTCTCTGCAGAGCGAGGACTGCCTTTTCAGTCTGTCAGAAACATGAATTCGGAGCTTAATTCAGAAGCCAATCTGTCAAAGTCACATGTGCGCGCGAGGAGAACGACGGGGAGGAAGGACCGTGGGAGACAGACGACCGGCGAGCGGTGAAGAGCCACACCGGGCAGCGGCCACCCAAGCCCCACATCGTAAGCTGGTGCCCGGTTTCCCTGAGCCCTGCTCCACCACCGCTATGCTGCCAAGCTGCAGGGCTGAGGCCTTGGTCGTCCTTGGTCGCAGATGGCTCCGGATTGTGTCTCAGCTCTGTCACTGACCACGTGCCTTCCGGTAAGTGCCTTCACTCTTCCAGGCCTCTGTTCCCTCTCATGTAAATAGAGCACAAAATCAGACTCACCGCATAGGGCTGGGAAGATTCACTGGAAAGTCCTCAGCCAGTGCTGGTCACAGGCTCATGGAATCCACTGGAGACTTCTTAGCCTACTCAGCAAACAGAGGTTTTCCCTGCAGATATCAGACCTGGACCTGAGACCCTGCCCCTGGCTGTGGTCACCCCACCCAGGACTCTAGGGTAAGAGTGAAATGCACATGGCAGTGATTTAAACCAAGGAGGGCCACACAGAGAGCCTCCCTCCTCCTCCTCCTCCTCCTCCTGTTCCTCCTCCTCCTCCTCCTTCTCCTCCTCTTCCTCCTCCTCCTCCCTCTTCTCCTCCTTGTCTCTGTGCACTGGGGCTCAGGGGAGGAAGAGCTGAGACAACTCCTGACAATCGTCACTGCAGTGATTCATTTTCTGTCTCGGAGCTCCATTCCAGGTCTGAAATCCTATGATTCACTGGAAAAACACTCCTTGAACCTAACCTTCAAATATTGGTACCTTTGCTGGAAATTCTAGAAGAAGGAACTCACCAGGGAGGCCAAGTCCTTGTGACTTTCTCCCCGGCAGCTAATCTTGCTACTTGAGTCCTCTCGGTCATAGCTTTCCAGAGGCCCATGGCTCTGCTTAGCCTGTCCTCCCGACATGATGGTCTTAATCATAAAATCTAATTGGAACGGGATCCACCTCAATTTATTCCTAATGCCTCGGAAAAGCAGCGCTGTTCCTAGGAATACATTGAGATGGATTCGATTCCAATTAAGAGTTTGACTCAGTTAAAGTGCTGTTAACCCGCTGGTGTCCTCTGCTTGCTACCTGGTTCGTGGAGGACGGGGTGCTGGCCTCACAGGACTCGAGTGGACAACAGCCATCTAAGTAAGGTCACCCTGCTAGTGGCATGGACTCAACCTTGTCCTTTTCACCTGACTTCTACCCAACTTTGGCTTTTGGGGGTGATCATCCTGCAGCAAGCTGGGGGCTGCTCTTTCCGGGAAAGAAGGAAGATGGTCTATTTTTCAGATAGATTCTGAGTCTGAGTGATTGAAAAGGAGCAGCTTATGTGATTAGAGGAGCTGGAAAGAGTGAAATATGTGACGCAGGTGCAGCCCAGCAGGGTGGACACTCAGACGGGATTTTGTTGTCATGTTCTTGATACAGAATTCCTTCCCCAAGTTTTGCTCTACAGCCCTTCACTTGCTAGAGGAGGCCTCCATACCTTATCGAGGGTAATCTCTTACCTAAAGACAACTGATTGCACCTGTAAATGAAGCAACATTTCCCTTATGGCAGCATCTAGAGGATTTGACCCAACACCTGAACCCCACGGCCAATCCAGGATCCCATGGGTTATATTCTAGCCGTGGATTCGTGGACTATCTCTTTAGCCTCCAAGAGCAAGTGGGTTAAACTTGAGAGCAGGTAGAAGGAAAAGGGCAGGAGCACTGAGATCAGGTGGAAGGCGCAGGTGTGGCTCAGTGGTAGCGCATTTACCTAGCCTACCTGCATGAGGCCCTGGGTTCCACCCCCACCCTCAGGACCACAAAAGGAAGCAAAAAGGGCAGGGAGCAGGCAATGTGACCCAGCCCACAAAAGATCCGGTATTTGCACACATCTTTCCCCACGCAGGAGCCCCCTCTGCAGGGAGAGGGGGTCACATCTCTATGATGGTCCCTGCATGTCAGCCCCACAGCGATTCCTAAGCCTGGAGATGCTGGGAGGTGGGGCATTAACTATAGATTCCTGTCGACCACGAGGTAAATATCCACGACTGAACACCCAGCCTTGCACGCACACTCAGGAGATTTTGCCCAAAATAGAGCCTCAGAATTTCCATTTGCACGGGGCACACGGGAAAACGAGAGGACTCCACACTGATGTGTGTGAAAAGCAGAGTGATGGGTCATTTACATCTATTTAATTAAGGAGCGCATTGTAACCTCTATTTACTTCTGTTTAATTAAGGGATTGCTCATTTCGGAGGCAGTGTCATGCTGGGCCTTCTACTACTTTTGTGATTCAAAGCTCAACTAAGGACGTGTGGGAAGCAGTCTGGTGAGCCCAGGCGGGTCTCTAATGGTGAGGGCTTCCTATTACAATGCCAATAAACCATGTTGCCAGGCTTGCAAAAAGAGAATCCAGGGACTTCTTGAGAAAACGATCTCCTCAAGACGCAGGAGGTCATCTGTGAGAATGGATGTTATCACAGTGACTCCATCGAAATTTAGAAGCACAATGGATTCCCCGTGGAACAACCCACCATACTTGAATAGGAAAAGAAAGAGCTAAAAAAAAATGAATAGAATCATATAGGCTGTTAGGTGGTAAAACAATTATTTAGCATGTTGATTATGCTAAAAAGGCTTCCTGAAACACATGGCGGACGCCCATGCTGGGGCAAGATGGGTCGGAAGGAAGACGGAAAATGTGGGCTATGCTTTTCTATATACAAAACAGCCCTCATCTTGCTGGGGTTGGCTAAGTTGCTCTCTCCTCAAAGGAGCAGTTTCAGACCTGCAGTGACTTATTATTTCAGCTGACGCTTTATTAGCTTTTTTTGGCACTGCTGTAAGAAATGCCCCTAGAATAACTATTTTTTTCAGTTGTGTGAGTCACCCCAAGTAGTGGCACAGGCCACCCTCAGGAGGCTGAGGCAGGAGGATCACAAATTCCAACCCAGCTTAGGCAATTGGTAATTCAGCAAGCCTTCATTTCAAAGCAAAAATAAAAATAAAAAATGTTTAAAGAGGCTAGAAGTGAAGCAGGAAAGGCGGTGGGAAGAAGAGCCAGCTGAGACCGAGGAAGGGGCTGAGGCAGCCAGGACCGCAATGGTGGTGGGATGGGGTGGAGAGGGAAGTGGGGTCCCCATCCAGCTGGTTACCTCGCAGGGCCCCCGACCATGCAGAGCATCACCTCCTGCCCGCCTCAGTACCAGAGGGCTCATGGCACAAAGCAGAAGCTGGGCAGAGTCTCCTTGGTGCCCGGGACTCCAGCCTGGGACGTGAGTGCTGGTCACAGTGGCCTCCGACACTTTCCACCCTTGTTCCAGTCAGATCAGAGAATGGACCAGTGTTGGGATGGAATTCGGCCTTGCTGGCAGGCTCCTGGACAGATCTACCTCCTTTGGGCCAGAGCCCGACCTGATACCCCTGTGACAGCCCCCAGCATCTGCTGGGCTTTGCTCCTGTGAATTTCACCTTCCCTGTCTTAAACTCACCAATATATTCCCTTGTGCTGTCCTCATACCTCCCGGCACACCCTCCACCTCCTCCCTCTTTTTAATTATCGAAGCCTGGACCTTTTCCAAGGCCAAGAATGAATACTTCTGCCTCCAAAATTCTCACAGACTCTCCTGGGCTTAGCAAATGATCTCACCTTGAACGACCTGAATGTCCTGATTTCTGATTCACTGGCTGGTAAATTAATTGACTTTTTTAAAAAATAAGACAACCAGCCGCTGATCTGTGTGTGTGGTCAGAATGTTCCCCTCACCACAGCTCAGCGAGGAATCGAGTTCTCATCTGGTGTTCTCATAAGGGGTTCTCATCTGGTGGCTGTCGGTAGAGAAGGATTCAAGGCTTCTCTGATAGGCTACAAGGGCTGAGCCCGTCTCAGTACTCACTGGGGGAGCTGCTAAAAGAACATCTGTTATATGAACAGCTGAATAAGTTTATGTTCAGAATCCAAAACCAGGCCAGGAGGTTTGCAGTCACCCCATGAATGCACTCAGCATTCCTGACCATGCAGACACTGGGGAAAGTCCTTCCTCTTCCCTGAAAGGTGCTTCAGTTTAAGCACATGTGGTGTCTCAGGACTTCTGAGAGTCAATTTAAGAGACTTGCTGAGCACTGGTCTTAAGACACAGGGCTGGTGATGGCAAGAAGGAAGGGGTCGCCGAGCTTCCACCCCTGCCCTAGAAGCGCTTCAGGTCTGCCCAGGAGTTCACTAAGGAAGTGATCGAGTGTCCCAACACAGAATGTGACACATTGCACAGAAGCAGCAAGCACAGGGTGGAGACAGAAAGCACGTGTGGTGGGAAGGGTCGGGAAAGAGCTGAGGGAGGAGGTTAAGTATCAGGAACTCATTATCAAAGTAAACAGAACTACGGGAGAAAAAGGCATTTCAGACACAGGGATAAAAACACCCCGTGGCCAGGTATAAAAGTATGAAATATCCCAGCGGAGTGGCTGAGGGGCATGAGGGGAGTGTGCTGGAGCTGGGATAGGGAAAGCAGGCCAGCGCTTTCAGCTCAGGGCTCCAGCAGCCCAGCCCAGCACCATGCTGGACAGATGCTGAGGTGGTGAGGGAAGATCCTGCCGGCCGGCCACGTGGATATCGAAATAGTCTCTGCTGTCCAGAGTTCTGGCTTTCCTAATGCACAGCTGGGAAGACAGCACTTCTAGCCATTCTCTTCACAGATGCTGAGATTTGCTTTGGGTCTAAATCGCTTGATTGACCTTCAGCCTTGTGTTGTCAACAGCTCTGTAAGTCTCATGCAGGGCTCCATGGAGCCTTCCAGTTTTTTTGAGAAGTCTCTATCTCTCTTTCTGTGAAGGTACAGATTTGGTTCCTGTTTAGGGTACTGAGAAGCTATGGTTTTTAACTATAACTCCTTTATAATCATCCATTTATTCCGTGATTATTGCATGGTACATAAGGTTTTGGTGGTGAACAAGACAAAAATATTTAATGTCTGTTACAAATTTCCTAGTCCGTAATAAGATTATAGCATGATGTAGTCCATGAATTAGGCCTTTACAGCTGGCAGCTGCCCACCACAGTCCACCCTCCCTTCCCCTGTGGTGCTGCATTCACAGTGGGCTCTGGTTACCTGGGTCTCTCATCATCCTTTGTGGTAGGCCTGGTGTTATGGTTTGTGTTTGGATGTCCCCTCAAAGCCTCATGCAGTCTTGGAAGTAGCTGAATCTAGCACTTGTGATCGGTTCCTTGTCTAGCGCTGGGATTGGTGGTGTGAGTGCTGCACCCACCCAGGGGTGGAGGTGGCATACAATATAAGGGAAGGAAGGAGATGTGCTTTCCCCTTGTGGCCCTTGTGGCTCTTGCCACCTGCAGCCTCCATGAACAGTTGCCCCTCAGCCATGCCACCTTGCCTTGAGGTCTGCTGACTATGGGCTGAAACCTCCAAAAACTCTGAGCTGAATAAACCTTTCCTTCCTTAATTTTGGGTGTCAGATATTTTGT